TCTGTATCTGTAATGTAATTATCTAAATAATAATCTCTAGATCTATTCTTAAATACTTATTTTGTTAAATCAAACTTAACAAGTCTGATTAATTAACAAGTTTATTTAACATGCATATAGACTATTCTATTCTATTCTGTATGACTGTCCAGCTCTTCCCCTTCCACGCTCTGCTGCCTCCATATTGCCCAGATATCAGGAGCGCCATTGCACAACGCTCCATTGGTTTAACACACAACATGAGGAAGGAGTCGCCAAACTGCAGCACAATCAATTGGTTTTTAATGCCCCGAGAAGCCCCCCAAGCATTTGAACTAGGATGCTTAGCTAATTTGATGTGATTCACTGAACTGATGGCAGAATGTGTGTGTATGCATGTGTGTATAAAGGGCAGTCTGCTGTGTTTGTAGCTGGTAGTTGATACGAGCACGGGTCATAAAGGGAGACAGACTGGTATCTATGATTCACTGTCAGCAGTGACAGCTGGGGTTAGCACCTACCAGCCATTTGGTGACAGAAAGAGCCAATGGAACACAAAGGGGACGGGACCATGGGGACTTATATCGCCACATGGCTACTGCTGGCATGGAGGCATGATGAGATGTAGACAGTACAATGTGGCTGCTGGTTAGTGGCTAGTGCCAGAGGCTTCAAGAGGCCCCATGACATAAGGCTGAAAGATGGATGACCATCAGGCATCGCATGGGCTGGTAAAGAATAACCCGTATGGGCCACACGTATGGCAATTCATAACACATACAGTACATACAAACATGTATCGGCAAACACGCACAGTTACCCAAGCATAGATGATGAGGCAGTATATACTCTCTCCATGTGATGACAGACAAACCACAACACCACATGGCCGAGAGCCTGAGAAGACGCCAGAAAATGAAGAAAACAGTATGCACATTCAAGCAAACGTGTATTCTTGTACTGTGGATGCACACGCACAAGCAGACCTGCAAATGTATTTGTGTAGAAAGAATGCATGTACACACTAAAACACAAACGGGCTGCACTGCACATGCTGAGCAGTTATACTATTAGAGGACTCTGTCACGTTTGTCATTCACCTTGTAATACTGTCTACCACCTAAGACAGCTTCATTTTCACAACAGGGAGACTCAGCAGCAGCAGCAAAAACAGCAGCTTGTTAGCGAGCTAGCTTTAATCCAGCCTGAAACGAGAGCCATAAGGAAGGAGCATACCTGCCTGAGAGAACTGCAAAGTATGGGAGGGAAGGAGGTGGCTGGTTGAGTGAAGATATGTGCAAAAAAAAAAAAAGGCAGGAAGTTGTGTGGCTGAAAGGCAAACTGGGCACCTCACAGGGCAGCTGCAGCTGGGTGTGGGTGTGTGTGTGTCTGCTGGGCTGGTGGCCTGCTGCGACCAGATTACATGTTCACTGTCCCACAGCGGGAGTGGAAGTGAGATGGGTAGGACTGAGTGGTAAATGGCCACAGCGGGGAGCCACGCGGCTGGTTGAGCACTCCTCTAGTGAGTGAGTGCCAATGTTTCCCAGTTTGCTCAGTGGCAGGGACTCTAAAGCAGTTGTCTTCTTGACTGACGCTTACAATGTTATCCACATTCGTACGGACTTCATTAGCCAAACTTGGTTTTTCATTCTGAACCATCAACAGCAAAAGCTAAAAATATCATGATATGAAAATATCAGGTAGTGTGTACTGATTTGTGCCTCTGTGCCGGTAACAATGAACCGATAATATTTTGTCCGTCAAAGTTCAAAGCTAAGGTCATTAGGAACTCACAAAACAGCTACAGTATTCAGTTGTAACTCTAGAATTCTAATCATATAAGAGGATAACATAAACTAATGCAATTTTATCTAACACTGAAAGGTCATTGCAAGGTCACCTTCATTGGGATATCATAAGGTTCTCCCAAAACTCTAATTTAGGAAGTAAGGGGAAGAGAGAAGGATTTAAACTGGTGGAGGCATACGACCCCGGTATCTGGGGAAAACAAATTTAATTAATCTAACAGTCTACACAAAAAAAATAATGACTAATTATTACGCTGGAACTGTGTGTTCTTACTAGTTTTCTCCCTATTATTATAACACTTTTGGGCTGGTATCTACCCAGTGTGTAAAATATTTGTTGCAGTATAGAACTCTATAACCCCGGGTTATAGATCCAAACTGTAAGGTGCTACCTATTCACCCATATGCATATTCATTTGCTCATTAGTACAGAATAGTGAACCTCGATATCAAAGCATGACTTAAATTATGCGGCTGTGAGATTCATTAGAGGTAACTTCAGCAAAAACTAACACAAGTTACCCTGAGGCTGGTTATTTCTTTTCCAAAGACAAAATAACTTATTGTATCAATAAAATTAGAACCACAGTGCAGAATTTACATGCATATTATGAACCATACTGTGACGCAGAGTCCTAAAAATGTGCTTTATGTAGAAAAAAAAACTTCACTGCACTCCCTTTTCCAGGCTAATAGAACTAAGTACCCACCTTATTAAAGAAGTATTGAGATTTTCAAAAAGTGAAGCTTTTTTTTTTTTAAAATAGTGGTAAAGAATCAGATATATTTGCCCTTGACTGGTAACCAGTCTTTTTCTGTGAACAAACTGAGAGCAATGAAGTAGATTGAATACGCTTCAGGGGCCACAACAAGCCTCAAGCAAACACTAAAAATCTCTGGCAGAATGATTTAAAATCACTAAGAAACAAAATGAGAACACTTATAGAGCTTGGATCAATTAAAAACTCAACCTTAAAACAATTTGGTAAACCACTAATGTGCTTTGTTGTTATAACAACAGAGAAGGAAAAGTATTTTCAAGCAAGAGTGCGGGTGAGGCTTCAGCGATAGGAAAATAAAACTGGATGTGCAAGCGGGGGTATTTCAGGAAATGTGAAAAAGCCTTGAGCCACCTCTCCTGCTTGAAAATATGTGCAGCGATTTATTGAAACATGTAAAAATACAAGAAAATACAGTATATAACTCTGCAAATACAGATCGTAAAACTCTAACGAGCTTGAAAATCAATATTTGGTATGACCACCTTTATTCTTCATGACAGCCTGAACTCTCTTGCTCAAGTTTTCTTGTTGTTTCTTCAGGAATAGTTCTTCAGGCTTTTTGAAGGGCATTCAAAACTCTTCTTTGGATGTTGGCTGCCTTTTGTTCTGTTCACTGTAAAGAAGATCCTACACTGCTTCAAAAATGTTGAGCTCTGGGCTCAGGCGAGGCCAATCCATGACTGATGGCAATCCATTGTGTGTTTTTCTCTTCAGGTATGCTTTTGCTGCATTGTCACTGTGTTTGGGATCATTGTCATGAAAATGAAGCTCTTGCCAATCTGACACTTTCCAGATGGTATTGCATGGTAGATCAAAATCTGATGGTGCTCTTCTCTGTTTATAATTCCATCAATTTTGATAAGATCGTTAACACCACTGGCTGAAATACAACCCCGAACCATGATGGCTGTAAGAGACT